ATACTTTATGTATACTAGGAATTTGAATTATTACTATAAAGAATTCTGTGTTTTTATTAGTGCTCACTTTTGCTCTGCTTTTAAAATATTAATCTGCCCAAATAGGACCCATAGTGATATTGAAAAATTTAGTTCCAAGAATGACATGTTCTGTTACACATCAAATCGTTTTAAAATACAAAAAAATAAATAAATCATCCTTGAAAGGCTAACCTTTCCATCCTTTTTAAAGTGTCTTATGTGATAGATTTGTGAAAAAGCTGACATTTTGCTACTGCCAGAGTCCTGAGCAAAAACAGGAAGATGGATTATATCGCACCATATCACTGCCCTGGCTCCCTGTTTGTACAAAAATATAATTTAAACCCTTACTGGTGTTCTATTATGCACTATATTACCTGAATGCATTTGAGATTAGCTGTTTTGGCATTGACACCTCAGGTCATCAAACTATTTATTCAGCTAACTGAGGACCAGAACTGAACAAGGAGTGGCGGCATTTAGTTCACATGCCCTGCAGCTCTGAAAAAAAACAAAAAAAAACTGAAAATTGTATGAAGAAACTGTTGGCTTCTTTTGATCAGGACTGTGGAATATGATTATTTGCAACATCTTTCAAGTAAAGTTCAACTAGGACTTTATCAGCTTTTTTCTGTCGCGTTTTAACTTCTTATTTGTTGTGTTGGATCAGCGTTTTAATGTTTCTTTTTATGCTTGTCTCTGTTTTGCACAGAAAGTAAAACTGTGAATTAGCTCATTTTTATATTGGTATGTTTTTGTTGTTGTTTTGAAAAGTCAGTTCTGAATAGGGAAGTCCTGGAAAAAAAAAAAAAAGGTGGCCAGATGTTGGTCACTGACAATGTTGGGGTGACAAATCAAAACTGAACCAAAATATCAGGAGTTTTATTTCAGCCTTTTGTAATATATGTTGAATTTGTGGACCAGGACCAGGAGTAAGTAACATTAAAAAGTGATATACTAAGGTACTAAATCAGTGTAAGAATGTATACTTTAAAAAAAATAATAATAAACTTTAAAAAATATTAATGCTACACCTAATCCTACCCCTTTCTCAAGTTGATATACTGGCTTCCAACAGTTTCAGAGCAGTAATTCTGTTAGATTAAAGGGTTTATTGATCAAACTCAAACCAAACAGACACTCACAGACACAGATTGAAACCTACCGAGAGGATGGGGCGCTCTTGCTGCAGCTGGTATAGATGACAGGCTCGTCATCATAGAAACTGCCCAGGGCAAGTTTCTGCCTGATTGACTCTCTCTCATTCCTCTGAGCCTACCAGAAAAAAAAAAGGAAAAAGAAGCACGCATGAATGATAAAGGATATTAATAAAAGTGTGGCAGCAACACTGCCACATCCACTCATCTGCCCCAGACATCAGCAGGGACTGAGCTGATTGTTCACAGCTACAAAGGCTTTACTAGCAATAATAATATTAGGTGGTTAAAGGTTCCAAAAATAGTGTTTTTATCCTTCCAAGAAATTATGCTTGGTAGACATTTATTCTGTGATTTAAATGATGAGGATATGAGTTTTTTCAGATGCCTCTCCACAAGAAGTCAGATCTGAGCTGCTGTCATGAATGAATATCAAAGATAAAACCTTTATTTTGTGTTGCATCAAGACTTTCAAAAAAATGACAAAAAAAAAGCACCAGAACAGGCAAGAATACATAATGTGTGTTTTGTTTGTTTTTTTGTACAATGTTTACATTTATTTTAATTCATTAATTCATCTTTATATGAATTGGGTTAATGCTTACATTTTTCTTAATCTTTCCTTTCTTTGTTATTTTAAAGAAACGTTATTAAACAAAAACCTGTGGTAAGGACACAGTTTTTATTCAAACTTTTTTCAATTAAAAAGCCTTTGCTTTTTAATTGAAGCAAAAGCCACAAATATATTATTAAAAATCAAAATTCCCTGTTGGAGAGTCAAACGTCCACTGGATGGCACTCTTTTCTTGATTTTTCTATACAACATTAAATTGCTCATCACTTTCGCACTGTTTGAAAAATAAAAAAAGACTAGCGACTTTGCAAATTGTTCACATGTGCTAAAAAGGTTTTCTCAGCTCATACACCATCAGCTGATGTATTTCTCATCAAGTCTTGCATGAATTATATTCAAGGATCCCTCAGGTAAGCAATAGTTTGTAAGGGTTCACAAAGGTTTTCAACGCATTAGGTTAGTCATACTTTACATTGTTATTTGAGACATTTACCGTTGTTCACAGCTTCAACTCTTTAGCTCCGCTCAGCTTTCATGTCATTCCATTTAGATTTCTACACTTTTTTTTTTATTCTAATCCTGCGTGGCATGAAAGCCGAGGAATCCTTCCATTTTGGAGAAAGTCTTCAGTTCTAGTCTTGGAATCAAATTAGAGTTCAAGATTGCTTTTAGCACCAAAACAATGATCTCCAGTGACAGTAAATATTTCACCAAAAAAATCATATCCAAATTCAGTCAGACTCACAAAATTTTAATAGAGCTGCACCTCAAGTTCTGTGACGCACATTCAGATGAGGATGTGATGTCAGAGCATGAATCAGGTGAGAGTCTTTACAATTTTGCTCCCCCACAACAGATGGCCAGACGTCCCCCCTTCCTCACACAAACAATTTCTCACCTTGAGACGTAGTAAGTACATATTGTTGAATGGAATGGAAAACACAGACAACACAGTGATGCCAAATAACCACCTCAACCTATTTTTAGCCTTCAAGAATGTGATTTCCAAAAGACAGCCGTCACCACAATGACTCAAAATGATTTATGATCATGTTAATCCAGATAAAGCTTAAATTGATATAAATATAAGTGAGAAACAACTGAGAGATGCTCAAATCGGAATCACATGAAAACATCCACTCCCTTTTCAGACATCCACTCATCCATTATGGCTGACATCTCCAGCTGCACACCCATTACGCAGATACCTTTCCCCCATACCTGTGAAAATCATGTCTCGAACACTTTACTCTCAGAATCCCCACACCAATGCAAACCCAAACCCACACACCTGGTAAACGCGTTTCTCCTGATGCACCATCTTCTAACGCATCGTACCAACACAGCCGTTCTGCCCTTCTCTACACTGCAGTGGAGCTCTCGTATACTGCAGGTCCATGCAAGAAGAGGAGAGTGAGGGAGGAGAGCACGGGGAGGGGAGAGGCAGCAGAGAGTGAAAGGAGGAGGAGGGGTTGAGAGTGTGAGAAGAGACGGAAGCAGAAGAGGAGACAGAAATGGTAGAGAGTGAGAGAGGGAGGGTAGAGTTAGAGCTGCCACAGTTTTCCTGATCTGTTATCTGTGCCTCCATCTTCCTCACTTGCATTTCGCCTCCATCTTTCCTTTGCTGAAAATAAAGATATAAAATATGTGCATTTGTTGAAGGAATTGAGTTCCAGGTTTGAATGAGACTCCATTACTGGAAGGCAAAACAATGAGAGAGCCCCTGATTCATTTGATAAAGGTTCTGGGACAGATGACAACACTAACACGGCCTCCTGTTCTGTCCAACTTGTCTCCTTGTTTTCTCTATGGTTTTTGTTTGTTTTTATGTGAACGGATTAAAGCACAATCTGCCATGAGAGAGAGAGAGAAAAGGAAGTGGATGATGCATCTGCCCAAACGTACTAAAACGCTCTGCTCTCAGAGTGCTGTGTCACAGCAAAGCAGTGGGTCGATCAAAGCATCTTGAATCATTGTTCATCCGTCATCTGCGCAGAACTAAAAATACCCAGCTTACACAGGGAACTTCTCTCACAAACATCATATTAACTTTTACATTTATATTGTGCGCACATATTTGAGAAGCAGTAACTCGCACAACATGGTCACTCACAGAGATGCTGGACAGCCTGGACCGTCCCCCACAGTAACAGCCTTCAGCTTGTGGTACCAAGATATCCCGGACTTCATCGGCCCAGCTGGGACTCTCAACCATGCAGCGTCCGCCGTTGTGCTGAGCATCCCTGCTGCCGTCACCGTCCTCCCACCAGTGGCCTGGTGTGTCTCCTCTGAACATTTCTACTTCTGCAAAATCCACATCATATTCTTCCAAAAGCCATGAACAGTCATGAAAATTTTGGGTTGAAGGTGAAATTCAAGCAATATTTTAGTTTTTTAAAGAAAATACATACCGTCGACTTCCAAAAGCTCCTTCATATATTTTAATCATGTACAACCTAAATCCATCTTGTTTAAAAAGGCATTTAGGATTCCCTTTTCTCTGGAGAAACAGAAAAGACGTACTCCGTTTCCAGAGTGTGGAGTGTTGCACATTCTTTGCCGTCACATGGAGCCCAGTTTCAGTGAAGTGTAAATGTTCCTTGTTCACATGCAGCACAGGGCGCCCAAGGGAGAGAGCGCCTTGTGGAAATGTATAAAAATAGACAGAATGGGGTGAACACGCACGTTTTGCTATATAAATGCAAGTAAAATACCTGCTGATCACTAAATTAGAATTAAAGCTAGTAATTCAAAAGTAGCTTTATATAGATACACATTTTACATATCCAATATGGATTACAGTTGACTACAAATTACTCAAAATTGAACATTGTAAAGGACCAATGAGATGGATGTCCAAGACAATTATGCTCAACCAAATCTTAAATTTTACATTTTTAAGTCAAGGCTCCAAAATTTGGAACAAATGTAGAGGCATTGAGTTTTAGAATCAATGTAAAATGTCCACTTATCTAGAAATTGACATCTGGTGTTAGTCCAGTTATGTTGATTTTGTAACCAATCCCCTTCCTGATGTCAATATGCTACTGGCTAGCATGTTTAAAATCTGATTTTCAAAACAGTACAGTTGATTGAGTATACCCCCCATAAACAGCATCTTCCAGTACAATATTAAATTGGAGTTCTAGTTCCCAGCTGTAAACCCCTTAAAGCGCCACTTCAAAAAAAAAAACTATTCAGACAAGACATTGTTCAAAGTTAAACATGTTTATTAAACCGTCAGGAGACCCAGGCACCTAAAAAGGAGAACAAGCCAACTTCTGTTCCAGGAGAGCATTGGCATTTATCTAGAAGTTAGGTCCTCCCAGTCAAGGTATGGATCATCTTGGCTTGCAGTGTGATAAAGCAAAGGGAATGACTCCCAGAAAGAGTCAGGATTTGCTGGACTTTGGTATCCAGAGTTGATCTGAGGAGGCACATTTTGCTGGTCCTCCGGCATTTCATAGTTTCCAAATGAGATTCTTGGCGCAAAAAACAGCCTGTCAAAAGGACCAGTCCTTCTAACGTATGGGCAGTAACTACTGAGCATGTTGGCTGTAGTTGTTGGCATTGTGGGAGTAGGGTAATCCATAAAGAATTGGTAGAAGGGGTGGCCAGCTACCTGAGGAGTCAGAGTTGCTTGGGGATACATTAGCCATCTTGGACGTTTGTAAGCATGGTAATAAGAGTGCAGGGGATGATTCTGCTCTTTAAAGTAGCGAGAATACATTGGGTAAAGTCCAAAGAGTTTTTTCCAGAAGTAGGGATTTTTATAAATTGAGCTAGCTGTGGCAGTAGCAGTCGTAGTTGCAGGTGGTGGGGTATACAGGCAGAGTGGATAACGACTATATGGACTACAAGGATAATACATGGGATGCCATCTTAAATTGCGTCTTATACGATGAAGGCTGAGAGTGTTGAGAGGCAAATTATCCTTTAAAGGAAAAGCAGGCTCTGTCGTGTTCGCCTCAGCGGGGCAGGTTATATTAAAGCCACTCTCCCTCCATCTCACTGTGAGGATGTACGTCCCATTCTGAAACAGGTAACAGCTCAAATTACACAATGCCTTGTGTCTTTACACGCAACTGTAGAAACGGAAGTTTGGATTCTAAGGAAGTGGGAGCAAAATGGCTTACCTCTTGTAAGACTGTACAGCTATCATAACGAACAAGTAGCACAAGTTCAAGCTTAGTCTGGTTCACCAAGATACCACAAGCTTCAGGCACCTGGCTAAACGGTACATATTCTGAGTTGCCTGCAAGGAAAAGCCCAATAAGTCAATTGAATAAATTTAGACAATTTAAATAATTATTACAGAGACTCCTACCAATGTCCAGTTGTAGCTCAGCAGCACCCAGGCCCATCACTTTAAATTTCATTTTGGTAGGGCCACAGTGAAGCGAAGAGTTAGAGGTGCCCCATCCATCTCCCATAGTCATACCAGTTTCTGTCACACACACACAAAATGTTAAATATTTGTCAGTAAATTACAGTTTAGAGACATGTAAAGTGGCTTACCACTGATGTCAGCTTGGCTTGAGGCATTTAATCCCATTTTTGGGCCAACAGCCACAGAAGGAGCCGACTCAAACTCTCTCCCATTAAACGTAGCATTTCCCACTTCAGAACTCCTCCACACTTTAAATGCTTTACTTAATCCTTGCCAGCTGAAAAATGTTAGACCAAGCGCTAAAAAACACAAGAGCAGTACAGCAGCTATCGTTTTCCATTTTCTACACCACACACCGCCTTCCATCATAACAAGGAAACACAACAGTTCAGTATGATGGACAATGTCTCAGTCACACCTTTAAAATAGTGCATGCGATCTAAGTGCCAGGTGATTCTATTAAGGAATCAACCAATCAGCCGCAGCTCACCTCCTGTTGCCAATTAAGCTCCAACTGGTGATTCTTTAGCATCTTCTCCAGATTATACCCTTTATTTATCTGCTCAAAAGAGAGATCTTAATGTCACCTGTCATTAAAATCAAGAAGAAGAAGAAGATCTTAATGCTGATTTGTGACCTCACACAAATCAGCATAATTTTGTTTTACAGCTTTAGCTGTAAAAACTGATGGGGTATCTGAAAGCTACTCTCAAGTGTAGCATAACTTTAATGTGGTTTTACTCAAGTAGATGCAAAAAATCCAAAACATGGCCAAAAAAACCAAATATTTAATGTAAATCCCAACTGAACACTTTCAGTCGGGAACACTTTGATCATGTTTGTTTCCCATTTAATGAAAGAAATAAACCCACGGGTAAATAAATGTGAAGAAATGAAGTAACATATTCATAAATTAACCAACAAAGGCACAAGAAACAAAGGTCTAAATTTTAGTTGTTCTCAATGTGAAGCCTATGAAACCAACCAAGCCTCAGATACTAAATGGACATATTGGTGTTTGAGTAGATCTCATACACCAAATATATATACTCTAAATTCACCTGCACTCCATACAACTCAGCAAAGTTCAGATAGAAAAAGCAGACTCTGTGTCAAACTGTGGGTTTATATCTATAACCTCTGTACCATACATTGTACCTAAGAGTTGCTTAAAATTACGCAAATAAAAGTTTTGTGAAATTAAACATTTTTTAAATTATAAATAAAAGTAACTCATTGCTCTCAAACTGTAAATATGTATGATTAATGATTTCAATACACTTTTTTTTCTATTCAAACAAGTTTGGCAACATGGTAATGGTAGAAAAAGTTCTGATACATTAAATATTGTTCAGTCATGAATACAGTGCTATTTGTTGTTACCTTCCCTTTGGCTGTGATTTTAACAGTCCTGTCTGCTCCCATTGCTAAATAAATTAAATTGATCCATAAACAGTGACATTACTTCCTTAAACAGTGTGCTGCTGTGTAACATCTACTTTCTTCTGCACGTGTGGGTTGCTTTGAGATCGTAAACCTTTCACAAGTCACATTTAATTAGTATGAACGAAACAAAAAAATTCAGTAGAAGAATTGGAGTTGAACATAAGAGACAATTGTGAATGTAGCCCAAACCACACTGAGATAGAACTTTAATTTTATATTTAGGAGTTTCGGTAGGAATTTGCCTTGCAGTCGTTGGCTTGCCAGTTTGATTCCCAGACACTTCATCCATCTTGCCTGTTGATGTTGGTCAGAAGAGCTGATGGGAAAACAAAAGGGGAAAAAAAAGTAGCCTCACTTCAGTCAGCCTGCCCCATGGCAGCAGTATAGCTTGTCATCTGTGTGTGAGAATGTGGCCTTTGAGATTTCTATTGGATATAGAAAGAGCATTACAAGTAAAGACGCAATGAAACCCAGACATGCTTTATTGGAATGCGGGGCTGAGTAGAATGTGCATACAACTTTTTTTTTTAATTAGAGAGAAAGAAAAAAAAGCCTTATTCTTGTCAGAAGTAGGACTTCATCCTCTTAAGGTCTACTTATGAATAACTGAAGATCAAGAAACACCTTTATCAATTTTGAAGATACTTCATTTAATCCACCTAGAATAAGTTTAATTTTTAGTGTGCAAAATTTTAAATTACAACATCCCCAGCTTGTTTGGCTTCTGGGGAACCACTGAAATACCCCCTTATGTCAATATGAATTTACTTAAACACAAATCACAAGTCGTTTTCAAAAATTTATTTTAAAGCTTCACACTAGCCTTTATGAGAATAAAACATGTGTGGAAAATTTTCATTTGGAACAACAGGTAGGTACTCGATGGGATACAACTGTGCAGGGGCATCAGAAGGACCCTGGGTAGGTGCAGGAGACTCTGTAGTTTTAGATGAAACTGGTGTTGTCTTCTGTCCTGAAGTTGGAGACTTTGGAGGTTTTTCAGTTGGATAAGGCAAGAAGGGAGAAGATTCTGGAAACTGAAGCCAGTATGGGACGGGGAAATACGGTGGAAAGGGAATGTGAGGATATAAGATTTTAGGTACTGATGTGGTAGGTGGTGGGGCAGTTGTCTGAGGTGGGAAAGGGTGCCAGTACAGGTGGAAGGGAAGTTGTGGCAGAGGTTTTGCAGGTTCAGGCAGCGCAGGGATGAGATGAGAATAAAAGTCAAAGTAAGGCCAGCTCTGCATCTGGGGAACCTGCGCCATCTGGGGAACCTGCGCCATCTGGGGAACCTGCGCCATCTGGGGAACCTGCGCCATCTGGGGAACCTGCGCCATCTGGGGAACCTGCGCCATCTGGGGAACCTGCGCCATCTGGGGAACCTGCGCCATCTGGGGAACCTGCGCCATCTGGGGAACCTTCGTTCTTGCACGTTTGGGACATAACAGAGACAGAGGATGGCCTTGCCAGAGTAGTGGTAGCATGTAATTTCCTCCCTTGTGATTAAAAATAAATAAATATTACATTTGAACAGAATATGACTTTTGCTCATTTCATCAAGTTTTATGCAAAGCAGTAACTGCATAAGAAATCTCCAAGTTCAGAAAGTTATCCCAACATCTTGCACAGTTAAGCAAGACAGTTTTACTTCAACATAAACCATTTCAAAGCAAATTATGGGATACCTGTTGAATCATGTTGCAGCCATGATACGGAGCCATCAGAACAAACGCCATCGAGTTCCCATGCGTTCTGTAGCCACATTTTGGAGGCACCATGGAAAGAGGCATCGGGGGCTCATGTGCTATGGAGGGGGGGGATATTAATATCCACGCCAAGTAAAAAAAATAAAATAAATAAATTACTTTGAACATGTTTGTTTTACCTCGCTCCACTGCAAGCTGTGAAGCTCCTGGTCCGAGTGACCTGAACTTCATGTGGTCACCAAAACAATGCAGAGAGGTTGCCAAGGGATTCCATTTCACCTTGGAGGTCTCGTCCATGTCAGCCTGCTGAGACCAGCCTATGAAGCAAAAAATAAATAAAAAAAAGTCACTCAAGATTCAGACAAATAGTCTATAGTCCAGGCTGGAGACACCTTCTTTTTATTAAGTTTTTGTGGAATACATACCAGTAAAATCTGCTTGATAATCAGTTTCATCATCCACTGAGGCGTTTTGCTGTTTGCGTCCATGTGGGACCTCAAAAACCCTCCCAAACACGACCTCTCCTTCTTGAACTCGACTTGAGGGAGGAAAGGCAGTTTCTCTCTGCACGACTCGTCTCTGAGATTTCCTCAGTCGAAGGCAGTCTGCAGTTCCCACCCAGTAACACATCAGAATAACGACTGCAGCCAAACAAACAGAGGCATTTTTCACCTTTTCTCGACCCATCGTTCAACCCTGCGCGACTTCTGTGAAGTGTTGATTGTTGTTTTTTTTTTTATAACTTGTCGTTCGGAGGCAAAGACTGTATTTGCTTCGCCAGCCAATGAAATGGTGCGAGAGAAAGCGGCGTGTAATCAGCTGGGACTGGCTACACCTGATCACCGTTTGGGCTGAACAGTTTCATCACTGCTGCGTTTAAGTACGCATTGATGCTGGCGCGCCTGCACTGCATTTCAAACTAACACTGGAGCTAAGAAGTGCTAAATATGTGCAATAAATGAAACAAGAGTAGCCTAATAATAATGGAGACAACCAGATTTCATTCATGAAGAAAAAGTAGCCAGCTTTATTTCATCTATAATCATTTAACCCTTGTGTTGTCTTGCGAGTCAAAAGCATTTAAATGTAGAAAAAAAAAGAAAAAAAAACGGAAATGCGTGTGATTTATTGAGTGCATTACAAAATTGTTACATCTGAAAATCATTAATTTAATTTGAATTTATTTTTTTTACTCACATTGGAATATTTCTGAATTTTCTTGGTCTTGCATAATCAATATCGAAATGACTCATAAGATCAAACAGGGCCACATTTCTGCTTGGTCAACCTGCAATGTTTTTCCTATGCGCTAACTTTATTAAATATATTCCTTGTATGACACAAAACTGTGTAATAATAATTTTTAAAAATAAGTTTGTGATATATTCGAACATTTATATACATTATATAAGTGAAAATGTATTACATGCTGCTTAAAAAAACAGCATGTAAGTTTCAAGACTTTTCTTTTTTTTCTAAATTTACTATTTATTTTATCTATACATTTTATCACACCAAAAGTGTAATATTAAATTGTGAGAATTTAATGTGAACATGATGAAATGCTCTTGATGCACCATTGCATCTTGTCTGCTTGGGTAACATCACAAAAAGATGGAACTGCACTTAGATTGAAACGTGGTTGTAGCAGTGTCATGATCTTAGTTTGTGTTTCTGCAGATGGAACAGTGTGCTTTGTCTGTGTAAACGAAAGAGGACCGTAGACAGATATTTCTACAATCTGACAGATTTGGAAAATGTTTGTAAAGCAATGATAGGCTAGGCCTAAGAAGACTGGAGTATTTTGAGCATCTGGTCTTCAGTGAAGGAAAATAGGTAAAAAATCAACACCTTTGTAATAGAGGTAATCAGTTAAGTTTATTTACATTTCAGAGCACTGACACATTGTAATCTATCAGCATCATATGTTAACTTTTGAGACAGTTATGAGTGTCTTACAGAGGAAAGAGGTAGTTCTGGATATTTCTTTCAAAATGTGAACATTTACAGTGTTACTAGGTCTAAAAAAAAATCTTTGAACTGTGCCCAATCTGGCACATACCAACTTTACAATTTGCCCTCTGCTTCCCTCTAGTGGATGACTAAGTGCAGTTAGAATAAAAGCTGAATAAACTACATTTAGTTTTAAAGAGAAGTACTAAACAAAAGAAAGCTATCAAAAGCAAGCAAGGTAATATATACTTTTAAAATAAGTTTCATACTAGATAGCAAAATGTGCCAATATCCATAAAAGTCCAAAGTCACTATAAATCTATTGGAAGTCTAGGAGGGAAAAAAATTAATTAAATCAGAAATGACACTCCATTTAGAGTATGTCCCTTTGTAAAGGTAACCATTGTTGACCTCTTGCATATTTAAAAGATAAACCCTTCAAAATGATAAATGGCTTTTATCATTTTACTTTATCAAGTCCAGAGGACACATAAGCAGTGAACACAGTATGTGAACACGTCGACATACTGATGGTGGCAAATTACTGGCCTGTAGATGGGCTACAACCCAGTGGCAAGGCTGCCATGCACCTGCACTACTGAGCCCTCTGAGCACCACCAGCTATGATGGGTGCAGCACTGTCAGTTACTTAAAACGCTATATGGAAGTAATTTATAATTTGACTGGGTGCCCACTATCCCACTCTTTCAATTCCACCAAGTGGTTGGACATCATCAAGGTTTTAAGCTTTACTTTTGGCAAAGTTGTAACCAATTGTAGTCTGAATATTAAATTTCCATAGACTATACTCTTTTCACCTCAACTAAAGTGTCCAACTTGACCCATGTCATACATGGACTTAAGTTTTCATTTCAATCTGGAAAAAACCCTGTAGGGAAAATGAACGTACACATTGTAGAATCTGCAACCAAAGACATCACTCCCTTTTATTTTAAACATTCATTTCAACTTTTCAAAGCTAACCTTGATAAAACGCATCTTGAAAATGTTGCTCATTTGGAAGAAGAGGTAGGCAGATGATAGGATACCACTTTGTAGGAGAATCAGGAGGAGTCTGGGTAGTTGCAGGATCTTGTATTATGCAGGGAATATTTTGTCCAGGCACTGGACATTTTCCTTGAGGACAAGGAAAGACAGGAGGAAATTCTGGAAGCTGAGGCCAGTACGGCCAAAGGAATTCTGGATTAAAAGGAATGTGGGGATAAAAGACTTCTGGCTCTTCAGTGGGAGGAGGATCTGTTGGAGGTGGATGAGGGAAAGGGTAGAAGGGGAAGCTTTGAACAAGATCTGGTGCTTGAAAATAATAGAAGTCCAAAGGCCTCACCGGAGGAACCACCACGGGGGGCTTCACCGGAGGAACCACCACGGGGGGCCTCACCGGAGGAACCACCACGGGGGGCCTCACCGGAGGAACCACCACGGGGGGCCTCACCGGAGGAACCACCACGGGGGGCTTCACCGGAGGAACCACCACGGGGGGCCTCACCGGAGGAACCACCACGGGGGGCCTCACCGGAGGAACCACCACGGGGGGCCTCACCAGAGGAACCACAGGCCCCATCGGAGGAACCACGGGAGGAACCACACGGCCCATCAGAGGAACCACAGGCCCCCTATGTTCAGGACACAGCAGGGACAGTGGCTGGCCTTGCCAGAGTAGAGGGAGTATGTGATTTCCACCCTGGAAAGCAAGACAGACTATTAGTTCAGGCAGTGCTACTTTACTCCTGTTTGCATTTAGCAGTATCTGCATTAAACGAGTTTGAGGTTGGCCCTTTATAGTGGTATAAGCAAACTATAGCAAGCTGTGAATCCCCGTCACGTTTAACGGGTTGAGGTACCTGCTGAATAATGTTGCAACCTTCAAATGGAACAATCAGAATGAATGTTATTGAGGATCCATATATCCTGTAGCCACATTTAGGAGGAACCATGGACAGAGGTATTGGAGGTTCATTTGCTGTAGGGGAAGAGAAGTTACATCAGTATGCAGTCCTATTTTCATATATTAAAAAAACAAAAACAAAAAAAAAACTACTACCTTGCACCACTGAAAGTTGTGAAGCCTCTGTTCCAAGTGACCTGAACTTCATGTGGTCATCATAACAATGCAGATACGCCCCCAAGTGTTCCCATAACTCCCTGTTGGCTTCATCCACATCAGCCTCCTGGGTCCAACCTATAACATCAAAGGAAGACTCAAATTAGCCCCACTTGTTTTTGAAGCATAGAGGATACAGTTATGGTCCTCTAAGACCTGAGGTCCCGACAAGTGTAGTGGCTCATTAAGTAAGTGTAGCAAACTACTGTGGTTGGCCTGGTTTAAGCGCATGAGTTTGAGATATTGAGCCATTCGAGGGGAACATACAAAGTGCCTATTGGTTAATTTAAGTGCATCATGTATTGTCAACTAATGTTTCACGGTATTACGTACAACTCATTATTTAGCCTCACCATAAAGTCCTTTACTAAACAAAGACGATACAAATCTTTCAAATTACTCTTACACGAATTCTCTGCTTCTCAAATGTACTCCACACTAGAGCAGCAGCATTAACACTTTTAGCTCATACCTGCGAAGTCTGCCTGATGATTTGATTCGTCATCCAGTGACTCATTAGATGACGACTTTCTGTCGATATCCGAGCTCTCCAAAACGTTCCCAAGCACAATTTTTCCTTCTTGGACAGTAGCGGTGGGAGAATGAACATCCTCTCTCTTCGCTGCTGGTCTCTGAGCTTTCCTCAGTCGAAGGCAGTCCGCAAGCGGCGCCATATAATATATTAGAAAAACAGCCGCCACCAAGCAGACTGGGGAACGGGCCTTCCGTCCCAAACCCATTGTTTTCCGCTGCCTAACTATTGGGCAGCAGAACTGTCACCTGCTATTTAACCCTTAATTAATTGGCCACTTAAACCCCGCGCGGCAGGTGTTGCAGCGTTCATTGAAATGTCGCGAGACCTGTTGCACTGTGATTAGCCGAATAGTTTACAGCTTAGCAGAGGAAGGTGACGAGGCCAGAAAATGAACTCCAGTCCAGCAGGAATACTTCCAAAATATTTCTATTAAAATAAAAGTTTCTCCACAATCGTCATGCTGCTGCTCTGAGACTTCTGGAAGTTGGTGGAGATGAAGAGATGACTGTCAGTGACAAAGCTTCAGACATGGCTGCCTTAAAGATTGCTAATGTGTGAAGGTCAGATCCCAGTGAACTAGAATACCTTTGAAACTCCTGCAGATTTATTACACAGTGGTATAGTTCAGGTGTTGTCTGGACATTTTGGCTCAAAGCTGCGGTGCACAACGTTCACCTTCCCAGGACACTATGATATTATATTTTGTGATCAAGCAATGGACATCTACTGAAAAGAATGTCCATGTTCTGTGCAGCACACCCATCCATGAACTAAATCAGTGCAGCTTAATAAGCCTCTGCTAAGTAAAGCCCATGCCAATCAGATTCAAGCATGAATCCAGCTCTGGTGTCAGAGACAACATCTACAGAATGTGATTCATATTCAATAATCTGAATATGGTTCATAATTTATCATTGCATTTTTGCCAATTCCTCACAATTTTTCAGGTTATCTAATGCAATAGCTATAACATAGTCTTCCAACTCTCCAGGACTGATTTTTTTTTTTACCATACATGGGGCTCCCTGAACCTTTAGATCTTGATATCTAACTTGATTTGCCTAGTCTAATCAAAAGAGAACCCAAATACATCATAACCACATTGATATGAGCACAAGGGAGATCAGACCGCTTTCATCTGTAAACCACAGATGGTTCACCGAAAGATCAGGACGTATCAATAACAGTATCAGTGTGATTACACATTGACAAATGCATATAGAAATTGATTTAATAAATTCTGACTTGCAGAAAAATACCAATGGTTAAGTTCATGCCAGCATCTCCTTACAAGATTCAAATACGGTGGAATTGACCTGACCCCTCAACTTTTCTCTCAATCACAATTTATTTAAATTATTCCAGAAACAGGCTTAAAGTTTTATAATAACAATAATAAAAAAACATTTAGATGTTAATCTTTCCTCCTTTTTGTTTCAACATTTAGGCAGGCAGATCCAGAAAAGGGAAAATATAATCAACCTACAAAAGTGAGATAAATTAAATTGGTCTTTTTAAATCCATCATAAATGGAAACACTTTAAACCCAGCATCACACAGAAATTGTTACAATGTTTTATTAATATTCATTGCTTCCTCCAACATATGTAAATATAAAAATTATTCAGAAATATTTCCAAGACATGGTCTTAATGGTATTTTCACAACAATTATTACAGATCTTAATTGGTTTATTTTTGATACGGTTACCTACGTCTCTGACAGGTATACTTAGAATTCTACATATGGCTCATTGGTACAAATAACATTTTTTTTTTCCCATTCACAAAAGCCAATTATATGAAACAGGTTAAAGACTACAATAATTGATGTTAAATCTCCTCTCAGTGGATTACTAATTGCCTGGATGAAATCAGCAGTAGTATGGATAACACAAGAACATAACAGAACAGCCTAAACTGTCGCCATGGATCCCGCTCTGGCGTCAGGGGCAGGACGTCTCTGCGGAGCGCGGTGAAGAGTGATGGGGGCATCCAGTCTGTGCCAGCAGTCCTCCTGCCTTCAGCGCAGACCTTCATAAACATCACTTCACAGCTCAGAGAGAAGCCCACCTCGAACCTGGAGACAGGAAGAGTCGCTGTGGGTTAGGCATTTCACCTCGTCAAAATTGACCTGAAATAAAAGAAGTTCAGGAGAAACGTACAAGGAGGGGCTTTCAGCTCCAGCCAGGATTTGAAAAGTAGGGTTAGGAGTGGTGATGCGTTCTTGTGTTCATGTGGACGTTCATCTTCATCTCGTTGTCCAGGATTTGCACGAGTTGCTGCATGGAGGGGAGGTGACCCGACTCTAGTTTCGACCACACTGGCACGTCTATAAAAACAAGACTTTGAATGTGGCTGAATTTTTTCTTATACTTGGAGCAGTTGCACAATAACAAGTAACAAATGTTGGTTACATGTAGCTCCACATGTCAAACATAATACTGCATTTTCACCAATAAACGGCTGTTGACGTCACACAGTCAAACAAGAAATTAGGTTTATTCTCTGAAGCCATGCTGGAAAGGAAATGCTCACCGTTTAATGTGATTTCAAACGCTCCTGTTGACATTAGCTGGTTTTCAATCATATTACTGAAGAAGAACACCATCATGCAGGCATATATCTGACAAGAACAACAAAACCTGGGTGAAAAATCTGAGCAAAAGAGGTACCATGTTCGTTTTGACCCTGCAGCCAATAGAGAAAATCCACAAGAAATTAAAATGTAAGCATTTCATTCTTGTTAAAAAAAAAAAAAATCAATCTGCATGTTGAATAATGCAGAGTCCCTAACCCTTAATACCTCTTCAAAGTATTAAGTCCTCTTCATCCCATTGTAAAGAAGTATAAATGCCAAAAGTTTCAATAAATTAATGAAATCCTTACAAGAGTTGAGCATTGAATACATAACCCTCAAAACAGGAGACCAGAGGAAGGAAGAGAAACAGGAAGGCCAACAGATGGATGACTGACACAAACCAGATGGACAAACTGAAGGATTATCATTTATTTGAAAAGTATTGATAAGTATTATGGACAGAAAACTGAAATGTAACAAAAGAACAAATAAATATCTTCATGTCAGACATAGATTGGAAAAACAGGCAGACAAAGTCAGAGGAACAAATCAGTGGATTTGTTCATTCAGAAAGCTTGATAAATCGATGGAATAAAATAAGCTTCTTTTTATACTGTTTCATCAGATTTGGACTGATTTGTTCATGTCCAACAGAGTGACACCTTCCTTCACAAAACACTTTCTTGATTGCATTAGAGCATTTAGTGTCATCAGTGAAGCTGACCTCTGATTTATTAGTATCTGGTCAAAGCAGATTTTTTATATGTTTTTCTATATCTATGTTTGATGCAATAATTAAAACACTGTCCCTATCAAACTTACATTTTTATTGCATATTGCCAGGAAACCTAACAACAGAATATTGTGATGCCACACTCTGATGGGAATATCAATGACCCTGGGGAACTCAATCTAAGCAATACTGAACTTTGAAAACATGCAGAGCTCTGCTAGAGCATAAAATGAAATCATGGGACCTATGGCTTTCTTACAAGTGCATATCTACACCTTGACGCCATTTTTCTCCAATTCTAAATACAACCCAAATGATTTCTGTAGTAGTGCAAAAAAACAACATCAACAAACAACAACAGTGCAGCTGAATCAAACAGCAGCTGTGATTTTAAAGTGAAACAGAAATCCTCACCTTATTTTGCTGGCCCCACTCCCAGATTCCTGGGGCTTGAACACCAAAGAGAGCAAATGGGTCCCTGCCAATTATGATCAGTCCGATCACCAGCAGTTTGAACATAGACAGGAAGGACGCAACATGTCTGTGGAAATAAGATATGATCTCATCAGAAGCAGAACTCAACGCACACTGTGATGATGTTCTATCCAAAGCCTGAACAATGAGGTTATACGGGCAACATGTCTGTCCTACATGTGGACAGTCTCTCTATCATTTATTCATTTACATCATTGAGGGGTGGGTGAACTGAAAGTTACTCAAACTTTCCTATTTTCCATTTGAACGTGTTCTTTTCTTGATGTTGCTGATGTTTGGTGTCGCGACATCAACCACTGGAAGTCCTACTTGGACCACAGCCATGTGCTGGAAGCCCTGAACTCTGTGCAAGTATTCCTCTACACCATATGCAAGAGCTCTGTTACAGCGTTTTATGAGTAAACCGCATGGATCATTACCTCATGTCATTCTGTGCTGGAATGTGTTGCCAGCATATCTTCCATGATTGATAACTCCAGGCATTTTCTATTTTTTAGGTGTGGGGCAGACAAAAGGAAAAGCAGTAATCATGTCTGAATAAAATATAAAAATGTTTTTTTTGTGTGTGTAAATGCCTCAATAAAAGCAACTTGAAGGACTTTTAAGTTTAAGAAATCGGAGCAAAAAAACATTTCACTTTGTATAGTAAATGAGTAAAGGCATGTTTTCTAGTTGACCAAACTCTAAAGAATAAAAGGGTTCATTTATAGCTATGAGAAGCTTAAGATCTGAGCATAACCAATCCTGGACTCTACAATCTGTGCAGCTTCTAACATTTAAAATCAGAACTGGTAAAACAAAAACCTATCTGAAGGATTATCCTTTTCTTGCTGTGACATATGCAAGTGAAAAACTTCAAAAGAATTCAAAGAAATGATGTCTGGAGCATTTGAAGCATGTGGTAAGATATTTAGGAGAGTCGCCTCTTGTACATGTAGCCAATCTCTTGTGTGCTCATTAAGTCAACCAGATGAAGACCCAGGAGTCTCGGTAACACTCCCTGCTGGACTGTACATCAGAGGCAGCATAAAACCAGCCTCCCATCAGTGCAAATATAGTGCAAGTCTAATGGGACCGAGGTTTCACAGAGACTGCCTTTGTTTCTTCCGATGTATTTCTTGAAATGAGAGAAACTTTGTGAAGCAAGCAAAAGAAACAATAAAAATCTATTGGTCAGTATTAAAGATTCAGCCAGTGAAGATCGAGCACAAATTAGCCAAAACAAATTAATTATTCATTAGTTCATTAACTTTAATAGTTTAATCCAAAATGTAAAACAAATAGACCCATCACATACATTCGATGCCACAGCCTGAAAACCTCTAGGTCACAGTGGTAATTCATTGAATTGCCAAACAAATACTGAGTACATATACTTTAGAGTACATCACAATCTA